AAAAAATATTTGAAGTTTTTTATTATTAAAATTAATGAAATTATTTTTATTTTACAAATTTTCAAAAATTTTGAAAGATTTTTGGAGTTTTTTTCAAAAATTTTCAAAAAATTTTTAACAGGTGGAGATTTCCAGAATTCTTCACAAAAATAATTTCCTAATGTTGTTCTAAAAAATATGCAATATCTTGACAACAGCATATAGAAAACTTTTCAAGAATAAGAGTAGTTTTATACAAATTAATACTTAATAGTATAATTCACTATCCAAAGATTCATAACTTGAAAAGTGTTTGATATTATAAAGAGAAAGCCAAATAATAGGACTTTGTAATAGACTAAATGATCCTGGATTAACAAAACACACAACAATTATTAGACTCAAACAAGTACAGATAAAAAATTGGGAATCACTCAATTTATTATCCTGTAAATCCTTAAATCATCTAACAGACAAAGGTAATTTTTAGCTCTAAGTGATCAAAATTGCTAAAAATATGAGAATAATATTTTATAGTTGAAAATAACAAGATATATTTGAATAGAAAAAGAGAAATATTTGGATTGAAGAATATCTTGTATCAAAAAAATATAAAAAAGCTATATTATCACTTAAAAACAATCAACTGATATACCTGAACTAACTGATCAATTAAAAATTCAAAAAAATAAAAGATTAGTAAATACTTTAGCTCCTATAATATATAAGCAAAGGATCCATACTAGAGTGATTTCAAATTATAGTCAAAAACCTCCCAAAAAAATAATTAAAGCAACTTATAAGATCTGAAAGAGAAAATTATATGAAATGGAAACTAAAATACTTGAAAATAGACTCTAATCAAAACAAGTGAAAAAAATTATAGATAGTGATAAGAAATATAAGAAATCAAGTAACTTGGGAAAAATTAAGACAAGAAAAAAAGAGAAATGTTGTGATAATAGAGCATTTTACTAGTTATAGTATCAACAATAATCAGGAAATCAATATACAAAAATACTTGGGATGTTCAGAAGGCATAACACTAAATGGTGTCTATATTATAAAAAGAAAAATAGGAAAAATATATATAGTACTATATCTTAATACAAAAAGTCTACCAGAAGAACACGAGATTTAAAAATTCTCAATTCCAAGTCAACACTTGAAAAAAGGATCAAAGAAGTGATTTATAGCAACCAAAGCCCTTTCTAGATCCAAAATGATAGAGTAAATCATGTGGATATTGAAACCTGTAAAGAATCTTTTATTAAAAAACATATTGAAGAAGAAGTATATTAAGATCACCTGATAGATATACTTCAATATAATCTTGGATCTAAAGAAAAACCAATCTTTTACTTCAATGAATTACTTATTAATTATGAAAAAAAGATATGAAGATAGAAGCAGCTTGAATTCAAATAGGAAAAGAAGAAAAAAAAAGTAAGTTTTAAACAGAAGTAAACAATTGGTTCTTATCTATAAGGGCTAAATTGGTAGCAATAATAACAATACTTCTGATAGTTTTAATTGAAAGCATGATAGAAATCTTTATAGATTGTCAAGCATATATTTCAAGTGGGAATCTTTTGAAAAAAAAAGTATGAAAAGGATATACAAGAGATAGCTCAAAGAAAAAAATTGGGTTCTATGGATATACTGTATATAATAGAGTTAATAAAAAAGAAAAATATAAATTTAAAACTTATAAAAGTCAAAGTATACTTAAATGATCCTTAAAATAAAGAAGTAGATATTCTAACTAAGGAAGCCCTAAAATTTCTACCAATTGAATAGAAAGATCTCACTTTGTATAAAATTATTACTGAAATCAAGTGGCAAGGAACAACTCTAGATGATTCAATTAAATAGTTTATTAGGAATATTAATAATAAGATAACAGTCTATCAATAAATACAGCAAAATAGAATGGAGAAAAAATGGAGATATCAAATTTCAGAATATCAGGCTTATATATAGAACTTAGCATGAAAAAGATTTAAAGATGAAAACATATGAAATATATTTTTTAAACAATTTTAACAAAGAAGTTTTTTTATTAAACTAGCTAATAATAAGCTATCTATTCTAAATAAGTTGATTGTAAGAAGACTGGATCTATACAAGCAAGTGAAATATATTATATGTAATTAACAAGATGAAACTATAGAACACTTGATAGAATATTTAATCTATAAGGACCAGTTACAAGAGGCATAGAATAAAGAAGTAGATAGAATTATTAAAAACTTTAAAAAGCTACCATAGAAAAGAAAGAAAGAGGCTAAAAAAAAAAATTTCAGGCTGATCATTGATGATCATGAAAAAAATAGGAGAATTTGACAAATGAATCTCTAAAGTAGTGGAACAAATTTCTGAAACCAGTTAAAATATATTAAGTTTCTGTACTGATCTTATAAGAATTGATCTTATTTTAAAAATGGCAAATTTAAAATGTTAAGATAAATGTATAGAAAGAATAGCAAGAATGTGAATAATAAAAATACAAAAAAGAATTTGCAACCAAGTTTAAAAAGAGTCTGAAACAAGAGATATGAAAAGGTAATTGAATGGAAATGAACACAAGAAATTAATAGAGAAGACAAGACAAAAAAACCTTCTTGTCTTTCAGGTCAGAAAACTATGATCCTAAAAAAAAGAAATCCACTACTTGAAGAAGGAAACCTCAAAGATAAAAACCTTCAAGAAATTTTAACAAGAAGAGTAGAATATAAAATAAAATGGTTGGGTTTAAGCTCTGTCAGAATTTCATAAGTGATCTGTAGTAGTGATCTATAGGCAATGAAATTAACAGTTGAAAGAGTCTTTACCTAAACTGCTAATGAAATGATAAATTACTTTTGAAGTTATACTTAAAGTTTTAATAATTCATAAAATAGAGACAAGTGAGTTAAATAGAGACTTAGCTTTAGTGATACATTTTTAATGTAAAGTATACATATGTTTAATAAAATACACATACCTAGCCTAACAGAGAGTTTTAAAAAAAAAAAATTTTTTTTTTAATTATTTGTAAAATATTAGATAAATTTTTAATAAGGAGTTTGTATTTAATATCAGTTACAATTTAATAAAATTATAATAATTATTATTTTTTTAATATTTCTTAACTTTTATAGTAAACATACATAGTTAATAATATAATCAATTATTAATTATTTTTTTCTTTTCTATAGAAATTCATAAATTTATATAAATACACCTTCAATAAGTACAATTAATTTATAATAATAAACTATATTTTAATTTATATATTATAAAAATCAGTAAAGCTTTTTAAAAATGTTTTCATTCAAAATTTATCTAGTATAAAGGTTTCATTCCTTATCCAAAAGTAAATATTTTATTAATTCTGCCACAACTTTTACGTTAATACTATTTCCCAGTACTTTGTACCTTTGTTTTAAAGAAACTTCGGGAGGAAATGAGAACTCTTCGGGGAACCCCATAATCGAAGAAATTTCGTATTCAGTAAAATAACGAAGTTTTAACGTAGCCAATATTGTGAGAATTTCCTGGGTTGATGATAATGTTGGGAACGGGATGGGAAATGAGTTTGCTTTTTGAGATATTTGGTTAAAGACTTGCGATGCCTTTGAGATGACGAGTAAACTTGTTAATAATTGTATGAGATGATTATTAAAGGTTTAAATATACTACATACATCCAATCCTTCATTTAACTGTAGTATCGAACCTGTTGCTTCTACATAATGATAATATCCTTTGGTAAAGCAACAACTTCTTCTGGATGATGGTTTTACTATGTCTATTTTTGCGTTATTATAGGGATATGAAAAAATTTGAGTAAAACATATGTATATATAGTAGATGACCTTACCGAAAAGCTTTCCATATTTGATTAATACCTAGCAAAGCGCATTAAAAATTTACAAAAATTATCTTTAATAATAATCATGGTAACAATAACAACGCATTCTTTTACTTAAAGATGTCGTACTTTGTCAGGAACAAGATATCGCTTATCTTCATTTAAATCAACATCATTCCGTAAATAGTCTTTTATGGATTTAATTTTCATACTAGTTGTCAACTCTGCGATGACATCTTTAGTGTCTACAAAAGGTTGATCGTAAGATGAACAAGGTATATAAAATAAAATCTTGCGCGCATCGACGAGGTTTTTGAATGCAAGTGGTTTCTTCTTTGCCTAATTAGGTACTTTAATAACAAAGAACTTGAACTTGATAGAAAAAATAATATAAAATATGCATATTACCAGTAAATAGTATCTCAATCTCGAATTTGGTATTCCTAACTGTAGAGGCGTTATAAGAAATTCCTGATAATTATAATCACAATTTTCTAATTGTGCTATCAGAATATTTCTCGTATCCGATTCCTAGATTATTAAGAGTTAAAGAATCTACAATTTACTGACCTGGCATGCAAGAGTTAAAGAATCGACAATTTACTGATCTGGCATGCCACTAAAACTCCTACCTCAAATCCCTTAACATTCTCTATTAACATCCATTTTGGTGGATTATTCATCTTATTCAACAATCCAATTAGATATATAAATGATCTTGACCGGTTATCTTCTGAACCTTGAAGTAACCCTGTTCGAGTGTATGGTTGGCATGGTGGTGACATCAACCATATGTCTGCTTTAAACGCGTCATATTGATCCACTGAAAGAGATTCTATGTTTCGCTTTTTTTTTTTTTTGATAATTTGGAGGAAAGTTAAAAGAAGGTAATTTTACTGAATTTATTATTTCGGAACACCTCGTTTCAGGAATTACCTGATGAACAATTGAAGCTTTCGAATTATTCTGTTTTTCAAAGTTGTATCGATAAATCAAATTTGCTATGTTGTTTATATCAAATGCAGCAATAAATTCACCGAAATAGTTCGTTTGATTGAATGCATAATGCTATTGAGGTAATTGGAAGAAAATGAACTCCCGATAGCAATAAATTGAATGTTAAATATAAGTTGACGAACCATTCCACCAATTCCCGAATAAAACTCCAAAATTCGATGCATTTTTATTATAAAAGATTCACCACATAAAGAACTAATTTATATACGGTATGACTATCCAAATACGCACGTGTAATTGATTTCAAAATTAATTTTTTTTTTTTTTTGCCCGTAGTTAGGCTAACATAGTGTGTTTATGAAAATTGAGAGATACATACTATGACCTGGGAATAATATTTTGCTTCTTAATAAATTTTGGATAAATATATTTCTAATCTAAACAATATTCCTTTTCAACAGTGTCCATGGAATATTTAGGATGTTATATTGGATGTAACAGTTTTCAATATGATAATTGGAGCTGTAAGTTTTATTATATTTCTCTATAGCTGCACTAAAAATCTGTAGCTTGTTCAAGTTGTTAAAAGATTCTGCCTTTTTGAAAAGTGTCATTAATTGTAATACTTTTCTATATTTGATAAACTCTGAACTATGTTTATAATGCTTGTTTCTTGATATAAATATATTTTTGGTTACAAGCTTGTTAAAGACTGTTTTGCTAACTAGCTTTTTAAATGTTTTTTATATCTTGTTTACTTGAACTTCACTTGTATTTTCTTCTGATTCTTCTTGTAATAAGGGATCTAATATTGTTTTAAACTTATGGTTCAAACTATTATTGAAGGCCTGCCATTGATCAATTGTTAACTTTTCTATATCTATTCTTTTCTTTCCTTTAATAGACAATTTGTTATCATGTCTTTGATAAAAAGATTTGTACTATATAATGTTATTATTAGATTGTATAATCACTATTTATAACTTTTTTTATGCTTTGATTGTCAAATTATATAATTGAATATCTTGTTAGGTCTTGTTATATTTATATATAATCAATTCAACTACTACTCGTTACATTCTATTTTGTTAGAATTTTGTTTTTGTCTTTCTATATTATCTATATATCTAAGAAATCCTATTTATCAAGAAAGTTAAATAAAGAAATTTCTGAATATCATAATGGTCTGAACTTTACTTTGGAAAATGATGTTTTATCTTCAGCTGGATTATATATTATATTAAAATCTTTTATTAATATTATAAGAAAGTCTTATCTATATTTATTTCTGATAAGACCTTTATTTTCTCTTGTACTTTTTTACTTCTTTACTTATTTGATAAAATATATACTTGTATAATACAAATTTTGATTATTTTCATCAATAAATTGACTACTATCATATATTTTTCCATTTTTTCTACTGATGTTACTTTTTTTTCAAAATCTTTTTTGATTAGTAAATTGATTTCTATTTTATATATAGGAAAAATCTCTATAATAGATTAAAAAGTTTATATCCTATAAATGATAGTGATTCAAATCCATTCTATAAAATTCTTTATAATCTTAAAAAGTTGAATAACAAAATAAATCTAATTGAAAAAAGAAAAATCAATTTAAAATAAGTAAAAGAAAATAATTAATCACTTTTGAAATTAGTATCAATCTAATCTAGATTTATCAGAAAAAATCAAATTTTTAGAAGTAATCAAACTTATTCTAAAAACAAAAAACCAATATAAAAGAGTCATTAAACAATACAATATCTCTTTTCAATAATACATATAATATACTATAACTTAATAACTTATTAATAAAATCAAAAATAATAATATATATATATATATATTTTAACTCTCTATCAGACTAGTAATGTGTGCTTTATTAAATATTTGTAAACTATACATATAATATGAATCATTAAAGCTAAAAAACATTAAGTAGCTCACTCATTTTTGTAATTACTACTCTAAATATAACTTTGAGTGTGATTTATCACTTTATTAGAAGTTTAGATGAAAATCTTTTCAACTTTTAATATAATTGCCTGCAGGTTACTACTGTAGATTACTTTTTAAGTTCTAACATTACTCAAAACCCAACCATTTTATTTCAAATCTAACACCTTTTAATAAAATATCTTTTAGGTCTTTATCTTCTAATTTTCCTTTCTTCAATATCGGAGTTTTCCTTTCCAGTCATATAGTTTTGATATCTGGAAGATTAAGGGGTCTTTTTATCTTATCTTTCTTTTAAATTCCTTGCAATTTTTTCCATTTTATCATCCTTTTACATCTTGCATTCCAAACCTTTTTTTGAAACCAGTTACAAGTCGTACTTTGCAACTTTGTGATCTATTTTCTTGCTCCTTTTCCAATTATTTTATCATAGTATTTAAGGTCTGCCATCTTGAGAATAAGTTTGCTTCTTATTAATTCTGCAAAGAAACTTAGTATATAATGTCTAGTTGCTGAGAACTGTTTTACTAACCTGGATGTTCACTTATATACTTCATCCATTTTTTTACTGTTATTCACTATTAATTTAGTATTCTTCTCTTCTGCTTACTTTTTTCTTTTCTGTGAAAGTTTTCTGAAATTTATTAAAACTCTTTTGAAACCTTTATTCCATATCTTCTTCTTCTGTTTCTTATATGTTAAATATTCTAGCAAGTGATTAATTGTTTTTTTCTCCTGAAGATTACATGCAGTATATTTCACTTGCTTGTATAGGTCTGGCCTTTTTATTGTCAGTTTACTTAATGTTAATAGCTCATTATTCGTTAGCTTGATTAAAAAGCTTTTTATTTGACAATCTTTGAAAAATGTATTCCATATATGACTATTCATTCTCTCCCATACTAAATCTCATGTATGGCCTTGTTGTTCTTGAATTTGATGGCTCCATTTCCTTTTCATTCTGCTTTATAATGTTCACTGTTATGCTATAGTCTTATTATTTATTTTCTTGATGAATTGTCTTATAGAAATATTTAAAGTTTTGTTCTGTCACTTGATTTCTATAGAAATTTTGTATGAGATGAGAGGTATGAGGTGAGATTTTTTTATTCTATTGCTGAAAGTTTAAGAGCATCTTTGGCTAAAGCATCTGCTTCATCATTATTAAGTCTTGAAAATGTGCCTTGATCTTGATAAGCTTTAGATATAAATTTTTTTTCTTGATCAATTCTATCATTCATATGCATAATGATTAGTTTTTATCCTTTAGCCATCTTTTATGAGTTCTTTTTGGATCATCTTTCTTAACAATTTTCCACTTTGAGATACAGGCTTGACTATCTGTAAAGATTTAAATTGAGCTACCTATTGGAACTACTAGAAGTATTATAACTATTGCTATTAGTTCTGCACATATGGATGAGGATCAACTGTCTACCCCTATTTGAAATCTGCTTTCTTTTCCTGTATTGCTTATTTGAATCCATACTACTTCTATCTTCATATTGTCACTGCCATGATTTATTAGTGATCTATCTGAATAGAAGGTTAACTTTTGTTTGAATTCTAGATTATGCTGGAGTATCTCTATTAGGTAATCTTGATATACTTCTTCTTTAACATTTTCTTTAATAATTATTTCTTTACAACTTTCTATATTTACATAATCTATCTTAGTATCTTGAAAAGTGAACTACTGGAATGATCCCTGCAGATTCTGTACAAATACTTGATTGCTATCTATTGTTTTTCTGATTGTTCTTTCCAAAGATATTGTAGAACATGGGATTATTGGCATCTGGGCTCTCCTAGTACTTTTTCTTGTATTAAGATATGGTATCATATATATCTCTTCCATATCTTCCTTTATGATATAACTCTGTTCTTGAATAAAACCTTCTAAGCAGCCTATGTATTTAATTAGCTTTGTCTCTTGACCATTTTCACTATTCTGGCACTTGTAGTATTCAATTTTTGCTTTTCTCTTAGATTCTTTTTATAGTAGCTTTTCCCATATTAATTGATGATTGGCATTCTTTTTAATTATCCATATTTTTTGTTTCTTGTCATGGTTAGGGCTAACTATAAAATATATTGACTCCCATTTTAACCAATCTATTTTCTACAACTCTATAAGTTAATTTAAATGATCTTTGAAGAACATTCTACTTATATTTAAGAACCATTCTAGGATAGAACCTTTATCAGTTTTTTGGATAAGTTGAAGCATGTGCCCATTTCTCACTTTATTTGCTTCATAGTTGATAAGCTGATCTATATATATCAATTTGTTGTTTCTTAGTGATGGTATGGCTTTATTATACTCCTCAGGTGAGAGATATTCTTGAATTAGACTATTTTCTTTTTTATATTCAAAGATATTATACTATTTTCAACTTTGAAAAGTAATTTTCATATCTCTAACTAGCTTAATTACTTGAAGTAAAAAGTTGTCTTTGTCTATAAGATGGTTTAGTGAGTTACAAGTCAGCAGATGGCTGGTTCCCAATATTTGATTTGTACTTGTTTGAGCCTTATAATTATTGTAATTCCTGCTGGTCCTGGATTATTCAATCTATTGTACAATCCTATTATCTGACTTTTCTTTTTGTAGCATCCAGATGCTCTTTAAATTATGGATCTTTGAGTAATGTATCATGCTGTTGGAAGTAGATCTGCATAATAAACTTTTGTATTTGAAGAGTTTTTTGTATATTGTTATTAACGTGTTGCATATTTTCCAGAACAATATGCTATACTGCATT